CCCTTGGCTCCTCCTGCCCGCCGCGGCCCCGTGGGCAGCGACCCTCGCCCGGGAGCCCCGCGGGGCGCGTTCGGAGCGGAGCCGCGGGAGGGCGGCACGAGGGTCTTTTGTTCCTCGTCTACACCTACGTCTTCGGCGGATGTCATGGTGCCGGATTTCCAGGACTCCCTGTAGAGACTTAGGAGATGCACCTCGCCCTGGCAGTTGTTGAGGGATTACCACCGATGCTGTTGGGTTGGATTGAAGAAGTTGATGATAGACCAAGTTACTATATTATGTGCAAAAATACGTGACTTTTTTTTTTCTTTTGCAACAGTGTTTCACTAGCATTGTCTGGCCTCAAATTCTAGATACTTTTCCTGCCTCTGCCTCCGGAGTATTCGGAGTGTAAGCATTTCACCACTGCTTTTTTGGTTTTGCCTTAGATATGATTTCAAAACAAATCTCACACCTTACGACACATGCCTGTAACACTAGCATTTAAGAGGTAGAGGTAGCAGGATCATTTCAAGACCGGCCTGGGATTCATGGCATTGTCTCACATAAAGCAAGCTGAGGTGGAATACTATAGAGAGAAGGCTCTGCAGTTAAGAGTGCGAACTGCTTTAGCGACTACCAGGATTTGCATCCCCATGTGGCAGTCCAGCTACCAGCAACTCCAGTTCCTGGAGAGCCAGTGTGCCCTCTTCTGGCCTAGCTACGCACATAGGTGTGTGCATCCATGCAGGCACATTCAGATGCATGCATAAGAATGTACAAAAAAAAAAATGAAAAATTTTCAACTTTTAAAACACATGTCCACCCCCGTTCTTTCTCTTCTGACGTACGATAAAAGTACATTTATTCAATGACAAGCATATAAACCTTCTAAATCATGTTCTTGTCCATGGATCGATGAGAAAGCTGAGTAAGCCTTCCTATTACATGATGCTTTATTTACTTCGTGGACACTCACAACATCAGCATTTTAAGTCCTCAATGACGGTTTGGAAATAAACGTGCTATAACATTTCAATGGCTGCTGAAGATGATAACCATCCTTTTTTCTGTTAGGCATTGGAAATACGAAGCTGTAGGTACATTAAGTTGATACACGAAGGCTCCTTAGATTTGGAGAGATTAAATATTAGGTTTGGTAGCTACAAGTAATGTATTTTCTGAAGCCCCATCTCCACAAGATTTAGCACTAGTACTGTTCATAATTGAAACCTACAGCATGTTTTCCCAAGGAATGACAAGAATGACAACTGTCCCTTTAGTATGCTGCCATGTTCAGGGTGTACGTCAGTCAGTTTGATGCTATACCCGAGTGCCACACGCAGTAAATTAGAACTTCAGGAGTTTATTTGGATAATGGTTTTATTTATTTGTTTATTTATTTATTTGGTTTTTCAAGACAGGGTTTCTCTGTGTCCTTGGCTATCCTGGAACTAACTCACCAGACTCCAGAGTGCTGGGATCAAAGGCATGCACCACCACTGCCTGGCTAATGGTTTTAGAGGCTGGAAATGTTCACATTGAGTCACATCTGGTGAACAACTCTTGAAGTATACAAAGTACTAGATAAAGGGGGCGGGAACAGAGCACTCTAGAAAGTCACTTTTATAATGAAGCCACTCTTTCAATAGATAGTTGACTCCCAGGATTTCACCATACGTCCACCTAAAATGGTAGAATGCTCGTGACCCAGTCATCTCTTAATGTCCCGATTTCCTGTGCATTCTCAGCAGCAGATAAAATTTAATAAAGATTTTTTGGGGGGGGCATTTAAAATATAATGGGGTTTTGAAAATCTGGAACAAAGTTTTTATTACTGATAATTGGTACTTTCATAAATTTAATGTCGGATGGTGGCACACTTCTTTATATGCAGCACTCAGTAAGCAGAGGCAGGCATATTTCTGTGGGTCTGAGGGTAACCTCGTCTACATGGTGAGTTCCAGTCTCACCAGAGCTACATAACGAGAACTTGTTTCAAAAACAAAACAAAATCACAAAACTTTTTAAAAGTCACAAAGATTCTGTAAGAGTAAACTACAGAGACAGCATGATATAACTAAGTTAGATTAAACTTTCCATTAGCAACCTGCATTTAGAATCTTTTTGGAGCTGTGTGTGATGGTGCATGTCTGTAATGCTAGCACTTGGGACTGTGGAGCAGAAAGATTGTGAGTTCAAGACCTACCAGGGTTTTGTAGACTCTGTGTCAAAAAGACAAAAATAAATGGAAAATGTATAAGGTAAAATTTTCACAGTAGGCCCCATGCACAGTGGCACGTGCTGGTAACCCAGACCCTGGAGACTGAGGCCAAGCCTGTTCAAAGTAATGAGATCATGTCTCAAAAATAAAATGTTTTTCCTCAATAAAATATTGAAGTGTTAACAAAAATTAAAAGATAGTAC